ACTAAGTGCAACGTCATTAATTTTAACGTAAATAATTTTCTGTAATTTAAGAATTTTTCAAAAACATAATATGTAATATAAAAATATTTTATTTAAAAATATATATAAAAATTTAAAATAAACTAGAAATTGCTTTTAACCATTGAAAATATTGAGAACATGTTTTATTTTTAAAATAAACTATATTTGATAGAAACACGCATGAAAATCTTAAAAAAAAGAATAGATTTTTTAAAATATTAATATAAACTTTAAAATGCGTTTATTTTTAAAGCTAAAGCATTAAATACACGCTACTCAGGTTATTTTTAATATATATTGAAAAAAAAAATTAACATTTTATAATGAATTTTATAACAATCGTTGATTTATAAATGAAAATTTTATGTATTAATTAAAAATGTATCCCAATTGATTATTTTGAGTAGAATTGATAACATCTTATTTAAAATCTTGCCAATGAGAGTATGATGGTAAAATGATGAATGCTTGTAAATGTGCGAAAATAAATCTCTGTCGATGCCAAACTTCAAGTAAAGCCAGAGATTGACTGAGTCGATTAATTTTGCGAATATATAAACATTCCTCAAAAAATTTAATTAAGTCTAGAGAGAGCTAATTAATTTGAAGTATACTAATTATCTCTTTGCTATCTTTCTCTCTTTTGATCTTTATATGACTGGTAGAGAAAATTAGCAAAATACTTTCAAAGTTGAATGCATCTTTTGAAACTTTATTGATTACATGTGTCATATTAAAGCTGTAAATTTTTTTAAGATTCAATCTCAAAGTGTAACCCGAAACAAATTTATTTAAATTATTTTATAAAATTAATTTTTAAACATTTAAACAATCAACGACATGATATTTTTTAAACCATTTCTTGATAATTTATTCCATGTATTTAAAAAATATATATATAAATAAATGATTAAGAAATTAAAAATTATTCTTTTATTTTTTATATAAACTTTAAAAATAATTCCAAATTTCAACTAAAATTTCAATAAATTAAAAAAAGAAAAAAAAAAGAATTTAATCGAGTGCGCTCGGTTGAATGTTTGCTTCAATATACAATATCCTGTCTAAGGTCCTTTTCGAGAAACATTTTCCGGTTCTACGAGTGAAAATTAAATTTTCGTTCAACAACAACGTTAAAAAAAAAGATTAAAGAATAAAAAAAAATAATAATATTTTAAAAAATTTGATAAATTTTTATACTTTGAAGCGCAAACAGTTAAAGAGTTTGTTTATGCACCGTACGTGAAAACGTAAATTTGCAAACTTTATTCTTAGAGAGCGAATATTTTTTTAAAAGTTTTTAATATTAATAAATAATAATTAATTTATATATGTTATATATAAAATAAACAACTCGAAAAACACTAATGTATGATTTTATTTCTTTATGGAAAAGTCACTTACATGAAAAAAGAGAACGCTATACCTAAGAACAAGCACAAATGCCAGAAAGGAAGTCATTTTTGGTATTTAGAAGTATATATATATATTTTTTATATTTTTACTCCAATTATGCCAAAAGACTTTAAACTATAATAATCTATAGACTAGAACAACTTTGATTTTAATCTACATGAGTAAAAAATCTTCATATTTTTTTTATTTAGTATATAAATAAATTTTTATCAGAACTAATCTTTCAACTTTTATAAATTTTTTTTTCTTTTACAAATAAAAACTAAGAGAGTTATGAGAGCACGTCAAATTATGAAAATTTTGTATGAAAAAAAAAAGCATTTCGATACTAAGGCTCCTAGATTACATTATTCTTTTTTTTTTTTTCTTACTTCGTTTAGAAATTTGGAAGATTGTCCTCTTATGGCAGCTGAATGCTGATTGATTTAGATCACCCTGCGTCAGAAAATTTATAAATATTCTAAGAAGTTAAGATGAGAGATTAATTTGATTATACTCGAAAGACAATTTGTTTTTCTTTATTTTTACTCAAGAAGCTTGTATATATATCTCTCTCTTCTCTATCTTCTCTCTCTCGCTCTCTGTCTCTTTCTCCATTCTCTTCAAACTCCTTGTCTCATTGCAGCGAAGACAGATAAAAAATAGACTTACAAACGGCCAACGATATGTGTATAGAGTGTGAAAGAGAAGGAAGCTAATTTACACGACAAATGTGGATTTTTAGAAATTTTTCAGTAGAACTACTGCCTGCAACTTCATAATCTCATAAGATTATATTGTGTGGCAAAAATATCAGCTATAAAATCTTTGCTGCCAGGTGAGGTTAGGACATCACCTGCAATATAAAGAACAATAGGAAGGAAAAAAAATAATGTTGAAACTTATCGATTAATGTTAATTCAATAGGAAAAAATAAAAGATAAAATTACCAAATATTACATGTTTTTGCGGGCTTTGTACCCACGGAATGTTGTTTGAATCTTAGTCGCTGCTTGCACCAAATCTGGATCAGACAGGTCAATATCGAGCTATAAAAGTATAAGAATTAGCATTTAGGAGTAAAATTATGCAATATTATGTAAATATTTAATTAAAAAATAACTTTATTTATGAAATGACATTGTATTTTATATAGATTTGTTTTAATAACATCATATAGTAGGTATTTTATTGTTACAATAATAATTTTAATCATTAATTTGTATAGTTTTAATTTATATTACTTTACTTTTGTTTTAATTTAAAAAAAAACTTATTTAATTTTGAATAATTTACAATCAACCTCATAATTTCTTACGTGGAATAGTCACGAATTAAGTTTGAAATGGGATGTCAAATTTAGATTATAGTAATTGTATACATTCTTGTATCCTATGAACACCAAGGTCAACACAATAAAAATAATTTTATTAAAATTATATTTAAATTAAAATTAAAATTGTGTTTTTTGTAGNATATTGCTATTACTCATGAAAATTAAAATTAAAATTGTGTTTTTTGTAGTCCACGTAGCTTTTCTTAGCCACAACAACAGAATTTAATAAAGAAAAAGATATATCAAAGCGTCTTAATTAAGGAAGCTTTAGAAATATGAGACATCAATTACGTTGTACAGAATTAACTAAAGATCGTAATTTGTCATAATTAGAATAAAATCTGAAATAATTGCAATTAAATCTTTCAGAATACTAAAATCCATATTCTTATGCAATGTTACCAGTATTTTAAATAAGAATTGTATTTCTTACATAGTATAGTTATATGTCTTGGTAAAGGTCACAATTTATAACATCATTTTTAACGCAATCACGTCCTGTTTTGCTGATTCCAATTTAAACTATGTGTTCAGTATTTATTTCCGGGCATTGGATCAACTCAATTCGATTTTAACTCCACCAAATTGCGCCTTCTTCAATGACATTACAATATCTACGTGTTCAATATTTGTAATGGAATTCCAACAGAATATGTATGAAATTTCATCCAAAAAATTGTCGTATCTCAATTTTCTTTTGGCGCCGTTGAATCCCCATGAATCCACAATAAAACCTTCACACATTTTACAAAATGTAATATAAATCTCCTCTGATAAAAGATATTCTTTTTTTTTGATTTAATGCATATTAAAAATCTTCTAGTCGATATTCTAAATATCATTAATAAAAATCCGGATAAACAATTATTAATTTATTGTTTTTAAATTGGAATAAAATATTTGTAACTTTAACGTAAGAGCAATTCAAGAAAAAATAACGAACGGCGAATACTTCATCCAGAATAATTGAATTGATACAAGATGTCTTTTTTTATTGGTTAAATAAATCGTATCCCAATAAATAATAGTTTATATATATTTATTTATTTATTCATGTAAATTTATCGATGATAGCTTAGAAATATTTAGGATCCTCACTAAAAATACGTTAATCAAATTTAGAAGTGTTTATCGGAAAATACTTCAAAACAAGTGAGCTGTAATTGAATGAATGTCAGCCAGACACTATAGATATTTTGTTTGCAAAGTTACATCAGTAATAGTTATCGATAATATCATTTTTTTTAGAGATTTCAAAATTGATTGATAGAAACGTTCCTCTAGAAAATATAAATTAATATTAATATAATAAAATAAATTAATATATTATTATAACCTAATAATACAGAAAGAAGAAAATTTAATTAAATATCGTAACAATTTATAAAACTATTTCAACAGAAGATTTAAATTTCACATCATCATCATCTTCTTCTTCTTCAAATTTTCTTAAATAAATGCATTTAGAGACACTACGTGCTTATTTAAACTAAATATTAAATCAGATATTCATGTAATTCAGATGAAAATCGACCCCAATATACTACACTTCGAAAATGGTTTTGTTATAATTAAACGAATGACGTTTATAAAAGTTATCATTTTTGATAGGATTTACGTATCTCAACGGATGCAATGATCATTACAGTTACAACTATTGACAGAAAATTAAGTTTCCCACGTTATTGGATCACCATTTACAAACTTTTGTATCATTATTTAACTTTATATACGAGAAAATTGCTAAGTAACGTTTAGGATGGAGAACAATTTCTCCTTTGATCAAGGATTAATTCTAAAAATTTTTCTGGAAATTTTCCGGAATTAGATTTTCTTTGTGATACACCTACTTTAGTTAAAATGTAAATGTTGCTGCGGATGTAGCTACACTGTAATAAAGTACCAGAAAGGATTTCTAGGACAAGATAAATTGCTGGAGCGTCTTATTTCTTCATTATCTTAAATATATCAGGTAAAGAACATTCCTAACTTTTATCTAAATGTATGTAGAATCATACCAAATGTATTATTTTATTAGGGATAATCGATTTGTAAACGTTAGTCAAATTGATTTTTACGAAACGAAAACATCACCATGTAATTTCTACTTGTAATATTTACAATTGTAAATTTATCGATTATATTTTCTAAGAAATTCTTTGAAAAAATAAGTAATTGATTTACTTTACTATAATCGATGTATAATCGAATTTTCTTTCCTTCCGTCTCTACGTCAGACAATGTCACCATAAAGGTGTAGACCTTTTGTCTCGTGCATTGGACAATGACGTCGATATTTTTGATGTGTGCTTTGTCTCTTAATCCCGTATGAGAGAATTTTTAAGAATTTTTATAAATAAATTCTAAGAAAATCGATGCTTAGATACAATTTTTATAAATTGAAAATGATAGAACATCTGTAAATTTAACCAGAAAAAATATCTATAATATTAAATTTAACTATATGAAAAGGTGGCTCAAAAGTTAGTTAACTGTATTTACTATATATTCTGTGTAAATTTGTGAATATTTATCTTAAACTGAGTTTAAAACAAACAATTTTTCTTTTATACTATTTACAAGTGATATTTATATATACTATTTATATTTTGTGATTAATAAAATATTTTAAAAAATGAAGAAATTTAATTTTTAAAATGGTTAATTGACTTATGAGCCACACTTTATATTAATTCTTGATTTATATCTAGCCTTTATTCAATTTTTATTAATTAAACCTTAATTTGAAACAACATAACTTAATTGGAAATATGATAAATTTTCACGTATCGGATTTACAATTTGGATTTTGGCCAATGATAGACTAAAATTAACGTTTTATGGCCCATTATTTACATCTTTTAATTAACGAAATGTAGTTATAATTACAACGAAGAATTTTTGAATTAATCATAAAAATATTTAATGAATTTGAATTAAATTTTCGTAAACACATTTACGAATTATACAAAAAAAATTTGGTTTACAATGTATATATATTCTAACTTATTGATATAAAAGAGTTAAACGATCTAATTTCTTAAATGACCTTTCCCATTTTAAGGGGGGAAATCTTAGATTTCTATAATTAAAATTTCATTTGTGGTTTCAATTTTGAAAATCGATGATCATCTTCAAAATTCAGTATATAATTTTTGACACGACCATTCTTCACTTTTCCAGATGCAGATCCAGTGTTAGTGACGTGCACTTTTGATTTATTTTTCCTGATTTTATTTCTTAACGTTATTCTTTTGAAATATTTTTTCCTTTTCTAAAATTCGTGAAGCTGTCGAGGATCGTTGTTATCTTGTCTTTTCTATTATCGATGATTTTTAAAGCCTTTTCTACTGAAACTTAAACCACTTCCATCACTTTATTTTTTAGTTTATTCACAACACTAATGGATTACAATGGTTCAGCTAAGTGGATTTACTTAAAATAAGAAATTTCAACAGATCAGACCGAATATAAAATGTCAAAAACCTCTATTCTTATAAATATTATAACGATATTTACTTTAATATGTGTACAAAAATTAAATATTTTTTGGGGAAAATATTTTTTTACATCTTTAGAATGAATTAAAGATATAAAATTTATAAATATCATCTTCGTGTTGTATTTGTCTATAAGAGTTTATGGCTTATAGGAATTCTGAAAACGGAAACGGCAGTAAAATAGTAAGAAAAAGTAAGTTTTTAATGGTAGGAAATGATTATATTTGATTAGATTATAATAATAAACAAGTAAAGAATAAATGATAATATCTTACTACTTCTTCGGACTCTTGAGGTGGTTCTGGATCTGGTACAGGTACTTTCATTTCCTTTCGTACCATATGTCCTCTAAAAGATGCTTGGATGCGAGTCGCAGCTTTTTCTAACTCCGGATCAACTGGCTCGGCACTACCTTTATTATCGTCTTGACAAGCCTGAAAAAATAATAAATTTATCGCTCTCCATAATATTAAACTCACCATAAAGTCAATTATTTCTCATCGTTTATTTATTAAATTTTTCAAAATAATTTTTTGCCATTTTTTTTTCTTTAATAGAAACGTTTCCTATGATATTCCTAGAATAAATTCTTACTATATTTTTGGATCAAGACCAATCCCGAAATGTAATTAATATTTAAATTTATAGTCAAGTCAATGAGCCAAAAATGAACCTTTTGCATGTCAGTCGGTTCTAAATCTTTATTTTTTCATCAGTCATTTTTTTTAGGGTTGGATTGATGAAAGACTTGCGAAATGCGATCGTACATAAAAATTCTTTTTTTAGAAAAAATAATTAAGAATAAGCACTTTAAATTTTATTTGAATATTTAATGTATTTTAATAATGAAAAAGTGTCTAGACACGAGAGCTCACACGAACATGGAGGAAAAAATAATAATACATTTTTCATCATCATCATTATAATTTATCATGGATTCGTCTTCGAATATTTCAGGAAAAAATAATTTAAATAATAAATAACGACATTTAAACACGTAAATAAATCTCGTAAACGTGGAAGCAACGTACATCAAACGAATAAACAATTATTTATTAAAAAGTGCTTTCTCAGAAAGCGAATTCTCCCACTTACATCCTGTCTTTTAATCACCCTTCATGACTTAAACATGACTTCCTCTTCCGTCAACGAAGATAACTTTAAATACACATTTGTATTAAATTAAGCCCTTTAAACTATTGTATAAGTTTCTTAATTAAAATCACTCAATGAATATTTCAAACATTTGTTAAACATTAATTTTTAAAAATTTAAACAGAGAATCCTCTTATACGAAAAAAAATAAAAATAAATTTCTATCGGTAACGCTCTTTTAAAAATATTTATTCCTAAAAGTATTTTTGTATAGAGGACCATCTGTTCTCTCAATGTTAAACTGATAAGAATTCAAAACGTCAACTTGCCTTCATGTTGTCTATCTCTTTTCTTGTTTTGTATCCACGAAAATGAGCTTGGATTTTTTTAGCAGCTTCTTCTTCTGAAGGCTCGCAACCGTTCGTCGCTTCTGAAATAAAAAAAAGGTAAAAAAAATATTACAATTTTTTTTCTTAGCTCTATTGGACACTGGACATCCATAAACAGTTCTTTCGCGACTATCTCTCTCAGACAGGAGGATAATAATTGAAGGCTGCTGCTGCTTTTTTTTATATAGCTAAATGCTTCTTTTCTTTTTCAAAAATGCGCTTCTAATTTTATATAAGTTTCTTGTAACATTCTAACAAAAGTTTAGCTCAGAATAAAAAAAAATGGACGGAGGAAAATAATAATAATTGATCCTTAAAGATTCTAACAAATATTTTATTTTTAAACAGAACAGAATGTTTTGAAATATTTCCAATCTTTAAATGTTTTTTTAATGTTTGCTTTTTTGAATTTTAAATTTTGTAAAATGTTTTTTTTGTACATTTTTTTCTAAAGAGAAATGTAATTTTTTTTTCTTTTAAATTTTCGAGATTGTTTTGAAAGTTAACTTTTCTAGATTTTCAGTGTGTTACTTTAAAAATCTAATTTATTTTTTTAATATAAAAGGTGCGTGAAAAATTAAATTTTATCGCGAATATTCAATTTTAAACAATATAAATAATTACTTTCGCATCAAAAAATATCATTTATTTGTGGGGAAAAAATGATAAAATGATAACTTATCTCGCCCAAATTTAAAGAACATAAATATCGTCAAAAACCGCATTAATTATTATTATTCTTTTTATGAATAATTCGAGTATAAAAGATAAAGTATCTTAAAATTTTCAAATTAACTTTTAAGATTAGAAAATGCCATAAATAATTTTGATAATTAATGAAAGGACAACTTTGTAAGGAGGAGGTATTATTATTATCTATTGTAACAAAATAGCAAAGTTTGTATTATCTTCAGAGGAAGAAAGATTAAGACGCTTTATCACAAAGAAACTTCACAGTTGAACAAACAGAATTACTTTATGAACATGACTGCTCGGTCTATCGATCAGTTTTGATGAATTTATATATTTCCAACAGCGAATTAAATCTTTCCAATGCATTCAGTCAAAGAGAAGGAAGAGGAAACGAGTCAGCAACCTTCTCTTATCTTCAGCATTATAAAAGATTATTTCAACCTTGACGTCCATTTAATATATCTTTATTTGTAAACTACAGCTCAGGAACTACTTAATTTTTATATCAATGTCTTACTTCCTTTCGAATTTTTTAATGTATAAATATAATATAAAAATTTTAGGAAGGGTTATTTTTCCGCCATGATAATGCTTAAATTACACATTTACTAAACAATTTTATGTACAGTACATATTTATATATTGATTTTACTATGGAATTGATTTTAAATAAATAATTTAATTACAAAAAATTACTTTAATATGGAAAAATTATATACAATTTTATATTAATTTTAACATCTAAAATAGTTTACAAGAGGATGTTAAATAAATTATTATTATATCAATAAACGATAATTTTAATGTTTTTATAACTCATTTTTACTTCGGAAATTTCGGTTTATAGAATATTTAGACATTTAATGGACATAAATTTCTAATATATGTTGTATAAATCACGAAAACATGAATTCAACATAAGGAAGATCTAAAGTGCATCAGTACATACAACTCTCCAATATCTTCATTCGATGCTGCTGACAAATAGATTATGTTCGATAAGACACTGCATTAAATAGTATTATAGAATTATATCAATGTTACCTAGTGAAATATTGTCACAGAAAGTTATCATGGAGTCGTAAAAAAAAATTCCTTCGGGAAATGTCTCGGTAGTAACTAGTGATGGAGTGGACCATCGAGAAAATCACGTGGATCAAGGAGCAAAACCGGGATTCCTTCGAAAATATTCTTAAACCACATAACCTGAAATTACCGTAATGTTAGAAAAGAAACTTTTTTCTTATATTAAGCATCAGATTATTTTGAAAACAAAAATAAATCTCCTCGTAAATAATACAAATCTCCAAATGTTCTCGATCTAATCCTATGTGAGCTCTTTATAATTTTCGTCCAATTTCTTTAACGATGTTCAATTTCCGGTTTATCCAGCTTATATTATATTAAGTATCAAACCGTATATTCGAAAATGAAATTTTTCATAAAATAAAAAGATAAAACATCAACTTATATAAAAATATTAAAAAATAAAAATTTGCTCCATACACGTATGATAAATCGGGATAATAATTAATATTAATTAAACTGTAGTTTTAAATTTTATATTAATTATTAATAAATTAGCTATTTATTTAAAATTGCAAAAGAAAATAATAAAATTTCTAATTAAATCATTGTTAATTTATTTCGCTTTTAATTCACTCTAAAATTAATTATGTTTAATAATAATAATTTTCAAATTTATTATTCGAATATTCTAATGATCGATAATATTATTTTCTAGTGTTTAATTTTTGTAAATGTCATCACTTAAAGTAAAAATATCGATTGGAATCGATTATATATTTGTGGATGATGATGCTGAAGAAATAGAAAAATAAGTTTGACTCATCCTTTCGAAAAAGTTTTTCTATTTGAGCCACTTACATGTAACTATTCATCTGAATTTTGTTTTTTGTATAGAAGAAACAGACAAACTCATTACTGATTCTTTTTCAGGAATCATTTTTGAATCCTTTTACATAAGATGATTACCTTGCTTAGATTATAATTTGATTAATTTATTTATTTTTGCTTTTAAAATAAATTCACTTTTCTTTTCTTAATTCGTAAAATTATTCAAAGATATTCTCTATGGAATTTTTGAAAAACTTCAATCATTTACTTTGGCAAAGGGCTTAAACTTTATAATCAACACAAACGGATTTTTGAATAGTAATAAAAATTTAATTATCTAGAGACTTAAACAAAGAAAAACCTAATTTTCATTACTAAATTAAATATAAACAATTATTTAAAAATTGAATTAAAAACAAAGAATTATTTAGAAATGTTAACTTTCGATTATTGGGAATTAACGTGAAATATTTTTTTTTTATAAGTGAAGTCTTACAAACAAATTATTATTTTATATACAAACAACAACAACTTTGTATTTAATTAGCTTAAACATTAGAGATTAATTTTAACGTAAATTAAATTAACATAATCGAAACAAATTCGTCTAAAGAGTTTAGTAGTTATAACACTAATAATATCGTGAAACGACATTTGTAATCACTTTTCTGAATATTCAAAAGTTAGTTAACACAAATTTCTTAAGTAATGCATAGTTTCATAGAATTTCTTAGTAATTAATCCTTAGATATACTTAATTAACGTCTACAACTTATAAACATCATCATATTAAGTAGTGTTACAATAAATATTTTTATACTTATCAGAAATTTAAGTAAAGTATGAATTTTAATAAACTTTTAAACATATTTTTTAAATCAAAATTTCAAGTAATTATAAAACATTGCTGATAGAATTAAGAGCTAAAATTACATTATAATATTATAAATAATATAATAATTAATATTTTTTTTCGTTATTTATTATACTAAAATATAGCAAAATAATATTTTGTTAGGAGATTTTTAGTGAGGATTTTTTTTTATTTATTGATCGAGATCTGAGATTGCTTGTTTGTCTTCCATACGTGGAATCATATTGCCAAAACTAAATTACTTAAGCTTGAAGATCCTCAAGTGCTACTCAGATAACAGTTTAAGTTGGTAAACTGTATACCTGTAATGTAACTACGCCTAAATTTCTATATCGAAAAATACTTTTCCTTAATCTTTCAAAATTTTTATATATCTTGTTACTCGAGCAAAAATACAATGAAGTAGAGTTGATGGACAACGTCGTTTTTGCTATAAAATGAATTAAAATATTAATAGAATTTATATTTAAAAAAAAACAAAATTATTTATTTATTTTTTAAATGCAAAGTACTTTATTTTTATTGAGGAAATTTTATTATTTTTTTTATAGAAAAAAATCTTACGAAATTAAGAAAAGTTTATACAACCGTTTAATGAGAGAGGAAGCAAAGTTTTTAATCTATTATAAGGACATTATCTCTAGCGTAATCAATTTGTCATTCTAACAATTTTCTACTTAACCTTTTTTTTCGGAATTAATCATATTTTAACAATTTCTATATTGATTTATCAGTAATTCATTCAGAAAACTCAATTAAATGAATTTTTCCTGTCATTTATTCTGAATTAAGTAGAAGCGCACTATATGCAGATTTTCTGATTAATAATCAAAGAAATTGTTGAATATATTAATAAAATTTTTTATCGATTTTTTAATTTTTTTTAAACTATAAACTTTTTTAAATTCATAAGCGCACTTATTTGCTTGATAAATATTTAATATAAAAAAAATGTAAGCAGGGATCAGGAAATGAAGAGTGAGATCAGATATTGTAATATTTTAAAGTAAAATATTCTTTATGAAATATGTAGACTTATTAAAATTGTAATAGTTAATGAATGATTAAGAATAAAATTACAGAAATGTCTTTATGATAATTTAAAATAATGGTGTAGACACTTAAATAGAAAATCTTTGATTCTAATCAATAAAGTTAACCATCCTCTTAAGTTAAAGGAACAGATATATAAATTGTTTCTATGTGAGAATTTCGTTAACTAATAATACCTTGTTTATAACCAATTCAGATATAAAACTAAGTAACAAATTATCATTTGATACATATAGGCTATATAAGTGCACAAACCTACATCAAATAGTTATTACATATCCCGAATATAACCCAGATTATCGAGTAGACAATTATTCCATATATACATTCACGTTTAGATCCATAATTACTAACAATTATTATGATTAGAAACATAATTATATACACTACAGATATTCGATAACATATTTACTATCATTTGCAAATAAGATAATTTAAAAATTAAAAATAACCAAGAGTCATTTGTTAAATCTGTTATGGATTTATTAATGATACTATTAGCTGAAAATTATTGTGATTAATCTAGACTTATCGTTAAAATTAATAACTTCATAGATTATTATT